GTTTCACAGATGATCTGAACTTGTTCACGTAAATACAGATGCAAATACACCCCCAACTGAAATAGTTTTGCAAGTATTTGACATTAAGGCTGACCTCATTACTTTTGCTAAACAAACCCTTAACTGGAGATGCTTGATTGAGCGTCAACACCAAATCACATTCAGGAACGCCTCATTGACCATTCCCTACAACAGCGAGTTGGCTTAGATTATAAACTTATCAACACACCAACTATTCCTCAAATATTTTCCTAACCTTTCGATTTCTGACACATTGTTCAACATGCTTTAAAAACCTCGAATAAAAATGCACCACAAGTAACAACGTTGTCAAGAGCTGTACGTTTGGGAGGGTAGGCAAAGCTAATATATGTTGAAAGTGGTGACTGTCATTAATTAAATTATACTGACCTCTTTATTATTAGTACTCTGCCGGATCGTCTTGGATACCATGCGTCACAATATATCTTCATGGTACTCACAAAATTTAGGATATCAGTGAAATTATGCCTATTAAATTCAATTTTTTATTGCAACTTAGAGAGAATTAGTTATTTACAGGAATTTTTCGTCATTTCTAACTTCGGTTAAGTCAGTTCCATTTAGTTTTGTTTTACTACTTCATATAATGCATTTCTAGCAACGTACTTTAAATACCGCAAGGTTTGTTGTCACTATTTGCAGGGTTAAAAAGTGCTTTCAAGATAGTAGTTTAATTTCATTATAGCTGATTTTAAGTTTTTCAGTGTCCCAATGTCTTTAGATAGTTTGGAAAAATGGAAAATGTTTAGTTCTTGAAAGAAAAAAGTATTCATAATTCCAATCTCCTTACTTTAGAAAAAATTTCGTCATATTTGGGATGGTTTTCGGAAGTCTCGTCAACAAGTTTTGTGGAAATTTCAAAAAAGTTATTCAAATTAAAAGATTTTCACTGGCTTGCGGTTCCTCTTCAAAACGTTTCAGAACTTTTCACTGTACAGCGAAGATTTATTCAGATTTCGAGAATGTTAACCAACCTTTGCTTGATTTCGGGTTTTTACCCAACTTATGTTGGGGAAGGCATTCTTTCGAACAAATAATACTCTAAGATCAAAACTTGTGAGAAACATATCAAGCTCCCAACGTTTTGGGAAATTTCGGGGTTTTTGTGCCATTTCTCCAAAGTTTGCTATAGTTGCTTCCCCAAAATTTCCTCATAATGGGTCAAATTTTCCCTAAAATTGGGAGCTTGGTATTTGTTTCGGACCTTAAGGTCCGATATGCAATGTAGAACAACATAATTGTGTTTATGAAATCAATTGTAGTGATTGTAATGCAGTGTATGTAGGTCAAACATCAAGGTAACTGAATGTGAGGGTGAAGGAACACAAACTATCCTTAAAGCACATTCCTAAATCCTCAGATGATGTAATAAAACTGGAGAAAAAAATTAGCGATAGCATTACACCCGATAGAATCGGGTCATGCAATTGATTTTGATGGTACAAGAATCCTTCAAAAAGGCTTTAATTCTTACGAAGAGAGACTGACAGCCGAAGCCCTACACATATAGGTAAATCTAAACAGTATCAATGTGAGAGATGGAATACAATTGGTCGTTCGATGACAACTAATAATTAATAAGTAAACCTGAAATCCTCATTCTATTTTATCTATCTGGTATTACCTGAATAACAGCACTTACATTAAATGGTTTTAATCAGTTGTCTTACCTGAAAATGTTAATTAATTAACTGGAACATTAAAATAACACAAACTTTCAATTACAAATACATTATTCCTCTTTGAATTCATTCTTTGATTTTGTTTATGTATTTTCATTTTATGCATGCTGTGACATTTTTTATTCATATCATTTAGAAAAATTATAGGTTTTCTTAAAATTTACCGCCTAGAGACAATATATAGTGAGTGAAATTTCCTCGCACTTACGTGTACACACAATATTTTATCTTAACACCGTTACAAATACATTCTTCCTCTTTTATGTCTCATATCAACTCGGCGCCGAAGTATTGTGAAACCGTTCGATCAAATTTAGAAAAAAGTTCTTATTCAAGGATAGTGAGTAAGATAATGCATTGACGTGAAACTTGACATTCAAATATTTGAATTTATGATCAAAATATAAGCACATAGATACGAATGTTGGTGAAAATTCAGTATAGGTCATCTTATCATAAGAGAAGTGACCACCAATCACGTAAATGTTTTAGGGACCTACCACCTGCCAGTTACCGATCCGATAGTCATCTTTCTAAGTTTTCCGTTCTAATCCAACCGAACATTTATTTTGGAACTTGTGGTTTAAATTTTATTTATTTTTGTCATTTATCTGAAAACTATTTTTCCGTCTAGGAGACAATAACGCAGTCTAAATAGCAAACAATTATAATATCCATTTATAATGACGACATTGAAAAATTAATGAACACCTAAATAATAGTATGATCTGGCAAACTAAAATCCAGACATTCCAATATAACATATACTTAGTACTTTTGAGTGGTAAGGTCGGTATATAAAGATAATATAATAAGCTCTGTCCTATGAATTTGTACAAGCCATGTCAGAAATTGTTTAAATAGTGACTGGTGCTGCAAGTTAGTATTTGAACGACCTACGTAACTTATAGTGTATAGGTCAGTTTGGTGATTATCTAGGCATTATTAGGTTTGAGTGACTGGTTTTCTGTGCTCATAGAGTATTTTGTAGTTATATCCATTAATTTATTAGTTGAGAAACATATCGTCACTAAAACGGCTTATTTTGAGTAATATACGCAACTCGTGGTACGGATTTATCGCGATACATTGGTACAGTAGTACTTACAGAACTCTGTAATGTTTTTAATCCAAAAAACCAACGAGCCTTTGTGCTTTCATACCTTCATCTATGTCCTACAAGTTTCATATCAGTAAGTATATGTATTATTACTGCATCTTTAAATGGACAATTCAAAACATAGACTTTAGAAAAATTTGAAGCTTTACAGTAACTTCCCTGGATTCCCTTGAATCATTTACGTAGAAAACAGAAGATTTTTATCTCATGTCTTCCAAGAAAACCTGAGCTCTGGAAGTCATTATGGACAGGGTGCTGCTGTCAAGATGAAAATAGACGCTCATAACAAAGTAACGTTTTTTCTACGTGCATAAGTTTGACCAGAATTAACTACGTAGTTCAGTCTGATTTATAACATGAGATATTGCTTTATTGATATATCTGATAATTATCCCTCAATTAGGTCGATTTTTCAATTTTTATTCGAATAAAAAAATATTATATCACACACTAGATACTTATTGTAAAGAAATAATACCATCGAAAACAGTCGATTACCGACAGCAAAACTAAACAGCTAATCGATTTTATTGGGCAAATCTTCATTCTGGTAACTAGTTTGTTGAGATCGTATCAAATTTTTAAAAAATTTCTCGATAATTACATCAAATCTGAATGTAAACAGCATAGAGATTCAGAAGTGTCGAGTGTTACCACTCAATATATTCGGGCACAAGTTGTTAAATATGTCTCTAGGTGGTTAACATTCCTTAGTAAACTGTCTTCAAATCTCTTTGTTCAGTATCATCACCAAATTATCAGGTCTGTTAATCTAAATTTTAGTTACGAGTGGCCACCCAATATCAATTTTTGTTATCGACAAGATACTATCCGAAAAAAACAATAATCACTTTAAAACATTAAAATCATCGTTACAAAATTTATAAACTTGACTGGATAATCGACAAAAAACCGCGTAAACATCCAACTAACCTATTCATGGGATAAATAGCACCAGACTTAAATTTGTCCTTAGTATTCCCTAGCTAGTTTGAAATCACTTTTCAACTTATTCAACAAAATAATCCTAATTATCAACTCGTTTTATCACTTAACTTATCGTAAAGAAAAGGAGAATCGATAGAATAGACCTATCACCAGTTCGAAAAAATTATCCGTAATAAAAAATTTATAATTCGGCTGATTGTTGTTGTTTGTATTATATTCTCGCTGATAACCGGTTTTAATTTCGAATTTTCTTCCTCATTCTAGACTGTATTATTCACAAAAACTCTCCAAGAAACCTGAATTACTAATTTATATCCGAAGGTAAACTTGGTTAATAACATTAGACTTACAAAAACTAGTCTAATTTTTGTAACCTGAGTAATCCTGAATCTCGGTTTAAAACTGTTTGGCTTTATTATTATTATTGAAAAAGTTCATTTTGAACAGGTTAAACCAGTTACTTGTCTATGAAGCACGCTTTCATTACTGAGATTATTAAGTGGTGTTCTTTACTACTAATTTCCAATCATTCTTTTTCGATTACTTTGTCATTATTCATATCATTTTGTATTTAAAAACTTGTTTGATAAGTTTACAAAATGAATTTATTATCAAGCCCCAAAAAATACACCAAGAATATTACCAAGGACTGATATTGCAAGTCCTATATCTTTACTATAGGCTAGATTTACTCAGCAGGAACTGTGGTTTGAAACGACATTCTACTTAGGTTACACAATAAAAGTTCGAAGGAGTTATAATTGCTAGTATTGGCAAAAATCTTTCTATAAATCAATATTTCGGTGTAATAAAATATTACACATGCTACTAAGTTGTTTTAAGTAGTATAATGAATTTCAGAAAATTACTTACCATTTCTATTTATACCTTCTATACAAGTGACATTTTGATAGATCAAATCATTTTCATATCATAAAATTACATATAAGTTTCACAAACTGTTTGATATTGTAGTTTTCTAAGAAAAATCACTTATATTTATTCAAGTATGTATACCCATTACCATGCATTCACAATTGGTTAGTTATTTAAATGATAAAATAAACACTTCCAAAATATTCTGTCATAAATAAACCTTTTGTTTTCATTTAATGTTTAAAATGGTTATGGAACAGAAAAAACAGTTTGCTTTTGGTCGTCGTATAATAATTTTACTATATAATTGTTTTTTCTTTTAATAAGATACATCAAACTATCTTTTTCTGTGACATATATTGATAGAAATGACAAAAGTGAAAAATCTTTCTGTGGAACAAGATGAAAATAATCAGGATGTATTGGAATTTGAAGATAATCTTGAGAAGACGTCACGCGACTTAGTCGCAGATATTTTAAATCGGGCTAGATCTGCAATCGCACATGAAGCGTTAGATACAAAACAGATTATGTTGCCTAAACAAAATTTTGCGTCATCGCTACCACAGTTATCGATAACAACTTTATCTCCACCTAAATATGTCAGTGAAAATGATAAGAATACGGGAGAATGTGATGATGTGTTTGGCATTACATCAATAAATCATAAGTCTGTCATAAATGAAGAGATTCAACCCTCAAATTTTCATGAAGAACTAACTATCCAACAGGCACCATCTCAAGAAAAGGTTTCTAATCAGTATCAAACAAAATTTGATTTCAAGTCAAATATTTTGAATGATTTCAGAGGTATTGGAGTTGGCTCAGCTACACCAGATACTCCACGTCAAAGAGACTATCAGTGGAAATCAAGTATAGATTTACCTCCAGCAAATAATACTACTTTCACTCATTCATACAACTATCCTCAGAAACCTGTTTATTTAAGAGAAATGTCTCTTTCACCTCCAAGTCTTTCGTATGATTTAGTTAAAGATGATTTAATTACGTCATCTCCACCAAACAATCCTAATTGTATTGGCGAATTCACAGCATCATCTAAAATGTTAACATACAGACAAGACTCCCCAACAGTTATAAATACAGACGATATGGAACAGAAGTTGAAACCATTCAGTTCACCTCTACCAATCTACATTCCTTCAACAGCGTGTACACGTATTCTTAAAAATTCTGAAGTTCATAGATTTACAGGTGACTGTAATTCACAACAGCGAAGACTTAGACACAATGATTCTGAAGTTGGTAAATTATCATACAGTGACAGTACGTCTTCAGAATTAGAAAAAATAAGTATCGAGTATAAAAACAACAGTTTTATGACAAATAAAAAGCAAGCTAACAAACCGAATATACCCCGTTTACAATTACCTTCAAGTCCAAAACTAACACATTCACCTAAAACTAATCAAATGAGAATTCGTCAATCTTCGTTACTACGTAATAGTATTACAACAAGTAAATCAAACAGTTTGAAAATACCTAAATCTACAAGCTCATCATTGTGTTGGTGGGAACCACTTAATCGTCATGACGCTCATATTATGGAAGTAGAAGGAATAAATAATTCACCATATAATGATAAATTTAACCTACCTGAGCCTAATCCAGAAGTACTGAAACATTATTATTATTTATGTGCTCAACAGCCAGTGAAAGAAGCTTCTCTTATGAAAGCAATAAATGAAGCTGAAATTCAAGCAAAATATGATAAAATTGCACATTATGAATTTTTAAGACGAAAATCTTTACAAAATCAGTATAAGCGAACTAGATTTTTAAATTCACATCAATCCAGAAAGTTTGGCATTGAATCGAAACATTTAAACAAAATAAATAATAACAACAATAATAGTACTAATCGACCAAATTTATGTAGACCTGAACATTTTACACATTTATTACAAAAGGAGAACAAACCGAAGAAACCTTCTGAATATTCAGATGAAGATGATTTATGTTCAACTATGAAAAAGTCAAAAAAACAACGATCGGTATTAAGTAGTACAATCCATAATGTAAGTTATTACATTTTGTACTTAATTAATTGAAATTAACGATTTCTTTTGTAAAAAAAGTTCATTTTTTCTATCGTTCATTAATGATCTTTAATATAAAGCTGATCTTTCAAAGCGACTGATAGACCTCTGTGAACACAAGTTTCAGACCTCTTGACAGCTAATAAATAAGCTAACTTAGAGCTTCAGAAAATTCATATTACTTCGGTCGATTTTAACTTTTATTGCTCAGTAGTTTAGTCATAATATCTGCACTACATTATTACTTTCGAATTTCAGAAAAGTAAACACACAAAATATACTACTGTATTGTGTAACTCTACGGTAGCTACTACTAAATATACTTTAAACTGGACTGAATGCAGAGATTGCAGTTCCTTATTTTCATTGTCATGCTACTAATTATATCACTGCTTGATAGTTTCTTTGCTTTCTGATGTGTCACGAGAAACTGAGTCATGATTTATTATTGAGCGAAAAATCTATGGACTATTTTTATATTGAAATGGTTGATTTCTACTATTCATTTGCTCTGTGTTGACTATTTGTACATGTGTTAATGAACTATCGTTTGGCCTATATCATGTGACCTAGTATGATGATCGATTTAGTGCCGTATCGACTGAGTGTACTATCTATTGGTTGAATTATATTTATCCTACTGGTTTCACTACGCATCTGTTATCAAGTGTCACTAAATATTTTCATATTTGTCTCCGTTATATCGCTTTCAGACAAGGTTTTGGCATTAGAAATATTACTTTCGGTGTCCAATCAGTGAAAATTAATTAGGACCATAATTTTTGGACGAACCAATAAGATTCATTAATTTAAAAGGCTAAATACCATCCTGACATTATAGCTGGTGTTAGTTCGTGATAAAACTCTATCTCTAATTCCTAACCCTATCACTAAACTCTAACATCTAATCTCGTTTCCTCATACCAATTTACAACCTTTCTTTAAATCTAGTAAATGGCCGAAGTTTCTCCAAGTTATTTTATTATCGTTTAGAGGTCGTCAGTAAATTATAACCTCTCCGAAAGCCGATTGTAAGCGTGGATAATTAACAAACTTGCGATATTATTTAATAATTTGAAATTTTGCTTAGTTTCAAGTTTTTTCAAAATCTTTCTATTTAACCCGAAGTAGATTAGAGCAGGATAATAAAAACTTTCTATTTAAGGTGACAAGGTATTACAACTGCCCATAATCTTTCTGTTACAAGCATATTTTGAACAAAAGTTACGAAAGATCGAAACACCATTTAACAGCTTTTTAATCTTTACCATTGCGCTTTTTTGTGGTGAAATGGTAATATTCCCTAATTTATCGAACCACTAAGGTAAGTTCATTAAGTTGAGTAGACATCAGGCCAGTTTTTTCTGCACAAAACTGTTAATAATGGAAACTGCGATAAACTTCTTGTTAAAATTCCTCAATAACTGCCAATAAAATTCTGCAGAAAGCATGATGTTAGAGATAAATAAACCAATATGTACTCTTTGGGAACTCTCAAGGAAATTTAGAAAACAGCTTAAGTTAACGAGTTTACTACCAGTTTTGGCATGTTTTCTAGAAGCTTCTAAAGTTCTAACATTATACTCTTGTTAGTGACTTCCACATAATCTACCTATCGAAGTGATGTCACTTCTCTTTTTTTCTCTGTTTGCAGAGTAGGTAGCGACTAGGTAATCAACGTCTAATCGTTTTTATATAAGACTTATAACTTACTTAAGCTCTATGTAACATCCGTATAATTGTTAATGAACTCACTGCTTCTTATGTAGCTACTAAGGTACCAACTATCATTTATGATTGTACAGTAGAAATAGTTTTTAGTTAAATAAACTAGTGTTCCAGTAACTTCAATTGACAGAAGTACTTTTCCATTAACGAAACTCTATTGATAACCTTTAATTTTTTAAAAACAAAATTTTATATTCTCAAGTGGTTTTTAAGCAATACGCAACTAATTCCAGTCAGGCTAATCCTGCAAATAATTATTCATGTTGTTTTCTATTGAGCATTACTTTCATTTGTCTGTTATTTTTGTCTGTATATGAATAGAATCAGATAATTGTATTATGATATGAAGTCACATCAGTATATGATTTGACCGGAAACGTTAGTTTATTGAGTAAGGAAATAAGAGAAGATGCATGTCAATCAGAGAGGAGATTGACCATGAACTGACTAAATAATGTAATGGACAGTTTATCATTCAGGCCCTTAAACCATGAAACTACATTGTATTTAATCACTAATGAAATAATTGTTAACATTGCTGTACTGAAATTTGCATAGATTTTTAAACAAAGAAGGCTTTAGTATTTCTTTCATGAGAAGATTAAACAATAACTTTTCTCTTACTTATCCCTTGAATATTAATAACACTGTACAGTATTCTAAAAATCATTTGACTAATTTTATGAATTACTGCACTAATTAGCCAATGTAACTGGAAAACGTTATAGAAATGAGGATTCTATATTTATGAATGATTTATAGGAATTAGTTCAATATTTAATTATGGAACATAAATAATTAAGTCATTTTGATCTTCATCGTTGATAGTTTATGTCACAACCTAATCATCTCATAATTTGTTAATCATTTAAAGTGAGTTTTTATTTTGTTTATTATCTGTTATCCTATATTGTTTCCTATCAGTTTTTTTCTTCTACTTGATTTCTCTGTGTTGTGTAACGTATTGACAGTAGTTAGTAGGGTAAATGTGGTGGATCTTTTCACGTGATTATGATGAATAAGTTCATGGATAGACGTCTAAAATCCAGTAAATAAATGTCAAGCATTATCTCGTTAAATATAAATCACTCACTATATTCACAGTTTCTCCTCATATATACAAATATCTTCTGGTACAGTGAGACTGTGGCATTCTTATTCAGATACACAAAGTACTATACACAACTGTATCTAAGAAATATACAATACAGGAAATTTTTTATAAATTATGATCAAACCAAACAATTATTTTCTTGAACATGTACATATGTATTCATTATTGTGAAGATTGTAATTTTCTTCTAAAGAGATTTCAATGAATTTAATACGATTTTATTCACTTCTTTATTTTGTTTACATATATTTTTGTTGAGGAATTTTATGCTGACAATATCAAACTGTATTAGACACACAGTATTTAGCAAAAAAACGTAACTACTGAAAAATTAGTAATAAGTAGTATGAATTTGCTGAAAAAATTATATATTAAGTTGAAACATTCTGCTAATTGCGAAAGTCAAGTTTTCTGTAATCTACTACATTCGAATGATACCAGAAACAATATGCAATAAAGTTATATACATTTAGAAGTGTTTTTTCTCAACTGGATAGGCTTATTGCTCTGTCAGTACTTTCTTACTTACTTACGCCTGTTACTCCTAATGGAGCATAGGCCGCCGACCAGAATTCTCCAACCCATTCTGTCCTGGGCCTTCTTTTCTAGCTCCATCCAATTCTTGTTCATTTTTCTCATGTATATCTCCGTTTCCCGGTGTAATGTGTTCTTTGGTCTTCCTCTTCTCCTTTGGCCTTGAGGACTCCATGTGAGGGCTTGTGTTGTGACGCAGTTGGGTGCTTTCCTCAATGTGTGTCCTACCCACTTCCAGCAATTCTTCCTGATTTCTTCCTCCTCTGGGATCTGGTTTGTTCTTTCCCACAGTATGCTGGTGCTAATAGTGTCCGACCAACGGATCCGAAGTATTTTGTGTAGACAACTGTTAATAAACACTTGTATTTTCTGGATGATGACTTTCGTAGTTCTCTAGTTTCATAATTTTTGTTAATCAACGGTGATTTCTTAATTTTGTATGTATATCTTTTAAACATTCTGCATTTAGATTTATAAACCTCTCAATGAAGTAAAATTTCTACTCCAGCTTTGTATGTTACTGGTAAACACACAGAAATTGACGTTTTTTTTAAAAAAAATAAAATGTTGATACATATTTTAGAAAGATACTTATCTCTCTGAATTTGTAAATTATATGAATGTATAGACAAAACAAAATTTTCTACACTCATTTTACATGGTCTCTATAGTAGTAAACATTAGACCATAGGATAAACACTTCATTATATTTGAAACTCGTTAGTTCAATATATCTACATTCCGTTGTTAATATTTGGATTTAGACTTTAAACGAGTAACTCTTCTTTTATAGATCAGTACACTATTCGCTGAACTGAATGAAAAATTGATCATAAATTTTATTACTAAACACTTATTCAAATTATAATGTGCTTTTGTCGTTCTTATAATCATTAATTCTATAGAAAATTGACTGATGAACTTAAAATGCATAGATTTTGATATAGTAGTATTTATTGAACTTTGACTTTATGGTGAATAGCACTCAACTCCCAACTACTGAGTAGGGAGTTCAAAATTTAGCTTTCTACTTACTTCGGTTTGTGTACTCGAATGGTATCACTAAAATATTCATACAATATACAGCTTAAAGATTGTTATACAAAGATATACTTGATTACTACTGATATGAATCAAGTTATATTAAACAACTAAGCTTATTTATATATATACCAGTTGGCGATTATTTTTTGGAATCAGATTATTAAAACTATGACACGGTCTAAGTTAGACCATTATTGAAAACCTGGAAGTACTAGATGGCCATTTCATCCTAGTATGAGATTTCTCGGCAGAAAGCACATATAACGTCGTACCCAATTCCTTCGGCCTCACTCACAATCTCTTAACCTCTAGACAACTGAGCCAGCATCCAAATGTGTTAATGTTACACAATATCATAAATCGATTGGAATTATGACATTCGTCAATCTTCACAACTCTATACTAAAAATATGATTAATTTCTTCATGTTATTTCAACATACCATAACAATTAAAACGATTCACACTTCGACGAACTTATTTAATTAATTATTTATATAAAGATCTTTTTGTATCAGCTGTGAAGTATAAACAAAAATTTTGTTTCTACATTTTCTCTC